AGAACACAGTTGACAATGGCGTAAAAAGTACGTTTTAAAGCGCCTAATTTTGAAATGTTTTCCCTGAATATTTTTTTAAAAAACTCAATTCACCCCAAGCAAGGCAGGAATGCCATTAGTAAGTAGTGGGGATAGTGGGAGTGAAAGTGAAAGAGAAAGTGAAGACTGAATATAGAGAGGACAGAGGAAAGGACAAAAGATGGATGGTATTCAAGAAGACATAAGCTAGCGATGATTGACGTTGCATTTAAACTTTTGAAGATTGTATTTATTCGGGAAGCAAGTAAACGGAAGTTCCATAGGCAGAGTAGAAGTGGCGCTTGCATTTAATTATTTCAATAGTAAACGGGTGGCACCTAGATGCCAATTTAGTTGCATACTTAAAATTCATGTACTCAGGGTATCAGGGAAAAAGCTCATCGGAGCAGTTCCCATGAAAATGTTTGTAGAAAAGACAGAGAGAGACCACGCCACGTCAGTGCAAAAGAGATTGAAGTCGAGATGCCTAGCCAGGATCGATTAGATTACAGACCTTTCTTTGGATTTTGTCAAGAACCTTGAGATGAATAGGCCAGATATGTCAGCAGTATTCAGTGCATTCACGAATGGTAGATTTGTAAATGATCAAAATGAACTCTGACGAGAAAAAAAAAAATTTCTTCACAACACAGTGAGCCAACTATCCTTGCAGTTGATGCAGATAGTGATTTCAAGTCAGTAAAAAGCGTAAGGCCAGAAGAACACAGGGTGTTGCTCACTATGAGTCTAACATCAGACATGATGATGGCAGGCAGAATAGTTTCTCTATTGCGGTTAATTGAGAGCAGTTTTGTTTTGGAGGTGTTAAAATTTACAAGACATTTCCTGTCCCAGTTAACCACTGATTGAAGGTCCTTTTCAAGAGTAGCAGCCAGGTTTACTTTGTCATCTCTGATAGATTTACTATTGAGAAAGGTGTAAATACTAGTGTCATCTTCATAAATGGCTACATGGGAAGATATATATATATATATATATATATATATATATATATATATATATATATATATATTATCCAACGAATTAAATATTATTTATGTTGGTCACACCCCAAACTCGCTTTCACGACGCTTGACACTACATTTGAATGAAAACTCTAACATTTTAAGGCATTTAAAACAACATGCCTGCCCGCACACACAATTCCCTAAAATACTTGTCGAAAACACAATTATACTTCGACATGAAAATAATAGACAAAAACTAAAAATCCTTGAAGTATTATATATCAAACAGTTAAAACCCAACCTAAATAAAATCAATTATGGCATCTCTACAAATATTCTTAAATGTCTATAATTGGTAACAGAAGCCATTGGTTTATACCAATGGCATCCCATACTTCATACTTCTCCAATTCACTCTCGCGTAGTCATGTGTGACGTCATGAGATGCGGTGCGATTTTCGGTTCTAGCGTCTTATATGCACGTGTTTATCGTTGCTTAGAAATCTTCCATGTAAACAATCACAGACTATCATTACTGTGTTGTCCGTATATTGCTTAATATGTTATAATTGGCATCTTTGATAATGGCTTATGTAAGCCGAAAGCTTAGATTGTATTAAAAATATTGTGAATTTCTTTCTTCGTACAATGATAATGTTATTAAACTTATCAGACGTTATGAAAAGAATTTACATAAAATAAATAGACAACACTTGTCTATATTATATTATATATATATATAAATATATATATATATATATATATATATATATATATATATATATATATATATAATAATGTATCAAAGCAAAAATTATTAGGTGGTTTAAAAACAATTACTTACTTTGTCTTAGTGGCAGATTATTTATGTTTATTATTTATTATGTTTTAGGTAGACATGAACGTAGTGTAGCGGTTACAGGTGTGTCGAGTCTAAAACCCAGCCGATGATGTTGTATTCACTTTCGCATAAATTGTCTTGGAAAGTTATATAGCCAACTCTTCTAGCTCCTTCTAGTGTTTTCTTTTACAGTGTTCCCCCTATGCAAGTCCGAAGAGCCACTCGAGCTCGACTGAGTAAGGGACAGAGTTTATCCCAGATCTGATCTATTGGAAGAGGTAGATACACGATTTCTCTATGGGTATATTATGAAGTGGATACAAACTTCTTCGGCTGTAGTTTAAACTTGGTTCGCTGATTCCATTTTATATTTCTTTTTTCATAATGAAAATTCACACTATACAAGGCTAGTGAGCCACTCGATGTAGAGGGTTACAAAGTAAGACGCGCAGGTTATAAAGATATGTGAAGAAGATATCCGTTAACCCGAGACGTGAACAGGTTATTATAATAGTGATCTGGGAAGTATCCTCTTGGGAGTCGGTTCCACAAAGCAGTGGTTTATGGGAAGATGCTGCTCGAGTGGAATTTATATTTCCACAACGGAATACGAAAGGAATTAAGGTGGTTCGCTAACAGCAGCACAGACTGGAATTTTTAGCCTTGGTTCGTAACCAATCTAGAAGAATGTGATGTGACATATATTCACATGTTCAGTTGCGAAAAAGGCCCCGAATCGCGTGTGTTTTGGCCGAGGGTAAAATAAAACCAGGCAGAACGACGGTGTCTGTTTTGAAACCTGTTCCAGCCTGACTCCGATTGACAGGTTTTTCTAACCGGGCTTTTATATCACGTGACTAGTCGATTATAACGCGTGCAGTTCCAGTGAGGCAGTTGGGTAAGAATCGGCGCCGGCGTTATTTACGCTTCCTACGAGTGTTCCATCTTTCAGTCGTTCCTTTTTGGTGAAATTTCCATCTACCTATTTGACCCGTGTGTTATTTGTGTTACCCCACCAGCCACCCATCTTTGTGAAAATGACACCTATATTTTTTATTGCCAAGTATTCACTACAAGAGTATACAAAAGCTGAATTCCAACAGAAAACAAGAACTTTGAATTTTAAAACCAATTAGGCGTCGAGCTAGCAGATTCAACCATATAATAAAATCTTTCTACGGAGACAACAGCAGCAAGGTTTAGCGTAGTGTAGATGAGGCTCTATACTTCACTATGAAGTCTACAAGATTTACATATCAATAGTGTTATTGCTTCAAATGTTATTTTTTAGTGGATACCCGTATTTGAGTATATATTCGGTTTATTTTAAACAGTATTTATATCGTCTACCGGACGGCACACTAGAGAAAACCTATTAAAGAGATGTGTCCTCCGACAGGGCTCGAACCTGCGTTCTTCTTTACAGGAGCATCCACCGTCTGATCCGGCGTGTTTTTAACAACTCAGCTACAAAAAGCTTCATAATCAATCAAGGTCTATTTAAATATGGTTATCCACTAAAAAGAATGTTTGAAATAATAAAAAATATGTCGCATTAACAAAATAATGTTCATTAATTCTTTAGAAACTCCAGTAGTATATCAGATATTTTCCACAGAGGTAAAACTTTTGCAGCATTGTATTATATTCCATTTAATATATACAGGGTGACCCCCGCCCAAAAAAAAAAACCTGAAACTTTTTAACAATCCAATAAAACCAAGAGTGATGGAAGAAAAATATTTTATTCATAGTAATTGAAATCTGAAAACGTGCCATTTAAGAAACGATGATGGAATTTTCATTTTTTTTAAATTACGTCCTGTAGATGGCGTCCTCCTGTACGAATGCATTCTTGAAATCTGCTGTTGAGATTCCTCATTGACTGCTGCAACATCTCAGCTGGGATACTGTGAATTTCATCTTGAATTCTAAATGGCGAAATGTTTACTTGCTCAAGGTCACTGTCTCGCAGTGTTGCCACTTGCTCATGTTTGGCAATACGCACTTAAAAAATTCCTGTTTTTTGAGAGCCTATATATATATATATATATATATATATATATATATATATATATATATATATATATATATAAACTGTTTCTGTAGCTTACAATTTTTGCATTTTATATGCAAGAGTTCAAGCTAGGCCAAAGCAGAGTTGAAGTTTTGAAAGTTATAAAATTATTGGCGAAATCTTGAGTTTTTTGTCTGTTTCATTTTGTTTTTTAAGTGGAAATTTGTTTAAAATTTAAAACCAGGAGATAGGTCATCCCAAACCATTGACAAGAGCGATGTGAAATCTATTGCGGATAGACAATGATTCAAAACCTTAAGCCAAGACTTTGTATGGAACTTCAATATATCGATTGAATCTTATTCTTAATGTTCGTCGAGCGACTACCAATTGGAAAAAAAAAACTCTCTAAATTTGTTCCACCTGAATTAAAATAAAAATATCTGATATAAACCTGCCTTAATTATACTCAGTCGTAATAATCCATTTTTTTTCTGGTATTCTTAGCATTGAAAACTGAATTGTGCATAAAGGAATAGGATTTTCGCAATGGCTGGATGCGGATGCGAAGCGGAAACATCAACTGAAAGAGTACTGTTATATTATTATTATTACTGATTATGACGTGTTTGGTGGAACAGGATGTATTTGATACCTAAGAGCTTCCTTGAATATGGCCAAACAGATATGTACATAAAATGTCGAGAAGCTTTGGAATCTCAAGAAACTTTGGATAATTTAGACAATAGAAACGCGGCCTTTTTATTGCATCAAGATGCTTGTTCGCCTGCTGCTGCTGCAAAAAGAGATGCATCTGTTGAATACATGGACTTTGTGATACTTTGCTTGTTTTCTATAAGAGAGTAACTTTTCTTTTCAACTATTCAAATTCCATCCTTACAGTCAAAGACTTCTCAAATTTGGATCAAATTGAAGAAGACGGCAGTGAATCTATTGGTTCTTTCAAAGGCGAATTCTTTAGGAAGGGAATTGAAGTCTTTTTTCTGCTGAGCTATAATAAATGTATCGATGCCGACGGGGAATATTCCAATTGAAGAAATAATTATTTTTTTAATTATTTATTTTGTTTAAATAAATCAGTAATTCCACCTTCGAACAGAATGGTACAATCTTGAATAAAAAATGAATAAATAAATTAAACCGAAGAAAGAAAGAAAGAAAGAAAGAAAGAAAGAAAGAAAGAAAGAAAGAAAGAAAGAAAGAAAGAAAGAAAGAAAGAAATGAAAAAAAGAAAGAAAGAAAGAAAGAATGGATGATCGGAATAAGTGAAAATAAAATAAGACAAGAGAGAACGAAAAAAGAGAAAGAAAGAAAGAAAGAAAGCATGAATGTTGGTAAGAAATAAAAATAAGCAAAGAAAAAAAGAAAGAAAGAAAAAGGGAAATGATGAGAAGAAAGAAAGCGTCAAAGTTGGCAATAAGAAAACATTAAATAAAGTATAAAATAAATAAAGGAAGATAAATATGCAAAAGAGGAATAGAAAGAAAGAAAGAAAACAGAAAGAAAGAAAAAAGAAAGAAAGGAAGAAAGAAAGAAAGTATGGATATTGGCAATAAGAAAAGATTAAACAAGACAAGAAAGAAAAAAAAGAAAGTGATGTAAAGAAAGATAATAAGAAAAAAGAAAGAAAGAAAGAAGAAAGGAAGTAAGGGAGGGAGGAAGAAAGGAAGGAAGGAAATAAGCAATGAAATGTGCAAAAGAAAGACAAAGCTGGAGCAGAAAGACAGGGATAGAAACAGAAAGAAAGAAAGAAAGAAAGAAAGAAAGAAAGAAAGAAAGAAAGAAAGAAGGAAGGGAGGAAGAAAGGAAGGAAGGAAATAAGCAATGAAATGTGCAAAAGAAAGACAAAGCTGGAGCAGAAAGACAGGGATAGAAACAGAAAGAAAGAAAGAAAGAAAGAAAGAAAGAAAGAAAGAAGGGAGGAAGAAAGGAAGGAAGGAAATAAGCAATGAAATGTGCAAAAGAAAGACAAAGCTGGAGCAGAAAAGACAGGGATAGAAACAGAAAGAAAGAAAGAAAGAAAGAAAGAAAGAAAGAAAGAAGGAAGGGAGGAAGAAAGGAAGGAAGGAAATAAGCAATGAAATGTGCAAAAGAAAGACAAAGCTGGAGCAGAAAGAAAGAAAGAAAGAAAGAAAGAAAGAAAGAAAGAAAGAAAGACTGAATGTTGGTAAGAAGTAAAAAAGTAAAAGTAAAGTCAAGAAAGAAAAAATGTAAATGATGAAAAGAAAGAAAGGAAGTATGAATTTTAGTTATAAGTAAAAATCAAATGATGTATGAAAAAAAGAAAAAAAGAAAGAATTAAGTAAAGACACACAACAGAGGAATACAAATTAGAAAGTTTTAGATAAAACCAAAATAGAGGAATATCAATTAGAAGGAACGAAAGAACGAAAGAAAGCATGGCTATTAGCAATAAGAAAAGATTAAATAAGAAAGAAAAAGGAAAGTGACGTAAACAAAGATAATAAAAAAAAGAAAGAAAAAAGTAAGAAAGAAAGCATAAGTGTTGGTAAGAAGTAAAAAAATCAAATGAGCCGAGGAAAAAGAAAAATGTAAATGATAGAAAAAAGAGAATGAATGTTGGTCATAAGAAAAATGAAATAAGTCATGAAAAAAAGTCAGAAAGAAAGAAAGATCGAAAGAAAAAAGATAGAAAGAATGTTGGCTATAAGAAAATAATAAATAAGGTATGACAGAAAGAAAGAAGAAAGAAAGAAAGAAAGATAGAAAGAAAGATAGAAATATAGAAAAAAAGATTGAAAGAAAAATAGAACGATAGAAAGTTAGATAGAAAGAAAGATAGAAAGAAAGATAGATAGAACGAGAGACAGAAAGAAAGATAGATAGAAAGAAAGATAGATAGACAGATAGATAGAAAGAAAGATAGATAGAAAGATAGAAAAATAGAAAGAAAGATAGAAAGAAATGGAAATGATTAAAAAGTAAGAAAGCAAGAAAACAATAATCGATCGAAAATGCCTTCCTCAACGCATTATAAACACAGGATTTTGAATTGCTTAGTGACGGCTGAAATGAGCAAGAGTGCCGTCAGAAAAGCTCTCATGTCACCAACATGAAAAGAATAATTCGAGCGATTAAAAAAAAGAGGGGAAGCATTTTGTTGCAGTTTTTCTTTTTAATTAAACGCATAAAATATTCAGAATGTAAAAAGAAATCTTATCAATGCCGTAAAGAATAAATTGCAAAGAGAAGGATAGCATTTTTTCAGTAAAAAAAGATTTCGGTTATTTTGGAAGTGGGGTAGCAGAAATAAACGATAGAGAGGACCCCCACCCACCGAAAAATATAAAAAACAAATAAAAAAAATTAACAACTCAGAATAAACGCAGGAGAAGGTTTTGGTTTGAGGATTTTGTGAAAAAAAAAATAACTGGGATATGAACTGAGAAGAAACTGTAGGAAATAAAAAAAACGAAAAGAAAAGATTAAAAAAAGAAAGAAAAAAAATAAGCTGAAAGCAATAGCTGAATAGAAAGAAAGAAAGAAAGAAAGAAAGAGTAAAAAATGAGAGAATAGAAAGAGTAGAAAAGAAAAAAGAATAAAAAAGAAGAAAGAAAAATGAATGTGACGGCAGAGAGAAAATAGAAGTAAAGGAAGAAAAGAGCAAGAAAGATGAAAGATTAAATACGAGATAACATGGAGAATTATATAAAAAAAAATCTATCAGAGTAAATCAAAGAAAAACTAAATATAAAAGAAGGAAAGAAGCAGTAGAAAAAAAAAAAAAAAAAAAGAAACTGAAAAAAAAGAAAGAAAAAGAAGGAATGTAACAGCAAGAAGAAAAGAAAAAAGAAGAAAGGGTAAGTAATTATTAATAACGAAAAGAAAGAAAACGAATAGTTATAGAGTAAAAAAAGAAAGAAAGAAAGAAAGAAGGAAAGAAGGTGCAAACAAATGAGGAAGAAATAACAAACTAAAAAGAAATAAAGAGTCGAAGAGCGACAATAATAGAGGAATTGTCAAAAATGGACGGAGAGAGAGAAGACATCAGCAATGCACTGAATAGGTTAAAAATGAATTCAAGATAAAATAATAATAATAATAATAATAATAATAATAATAAAAGAGAAAATAAATTAGGCATGAAAACCGAGAAAAACTTCAAAACATAATGCCTGAAAAGAGAAAAAAAAACTCCAACAATGAAGGTGACAGAGAATTCAGACCAAAATGAATCTGCTTGTTTTAGAGGCTAACATAAAAACTCGCGAAGCGTATGCTACTTTTGGCGCGAATAGTCAGAACGATGCAACCTATAAATTTGTTAACTGGAGCAATCTTGGAGAAAACTGCAGTATTGGTAGTAGTAGCCACAGTAGTGAATGCCTGTACAATTCCTGCATTCAAAAACTGTAGTCGTCACAGTCGCTCAGCTAAATCTGATGGTAGAGGCTTTAGTTTACAATATCAGTGGTAGTAATAGTAGCAGTGTTTGTCTTACCTTCAGAACTTGTAGAACCGGTAGTAGACTGTAGACGTCCTCGTAGTAAAGTTCTCCGCAGTCCCCGACGCTTCACTTTCAATCGCATTAGTACTTGGCCCACTGAAAATACAGAAGAAACATTTCAGAAAATATTTAAAAGCATCTATTTATTAGATCGTCGAAATAACTTCGTTATGTAATGTGCCGTTAACTAGTAGCGCTTAATTTTAACTAGGTACGTACGGAAAGATAATCAGTGTGCTTCAACACCCAACAAAAATGAATTACTCTTGTTTAGACTAGCGAACAACTTTCTGGGGTTTAAACTGCTGGTGCTTTGCCTCCTAAATTAAATCCAAGGAATTAAATGTTAATTATCTACAACTGATGCACACGTTCGTATGGCAACGGCTATGGGTTAAATAGTATGACAGATTGGACCCTTTAGTATTGGTTGGCATCGACTGTAGGTAGAAGGACAACTCTGAATTGAAAACTGGTTTGACCTGACAACTCCTTCCCGTAAGAACAAAACGGTGCTACTATAGTGTGAGGTCTACCTCAATTTAATGTGAGGTCTACCTCCCGTTTTACGTGTTTAGAAAGTGAGACAGTTATAAAGATCAATGTTAGACCTCACCTGACCTGATGGCCACGTGAGGGGAAGGGTACGAGGTAGGCCTCACGCTATAGTAGTACCAACAAAACCCTACTTGCTGCACAAGCCACAGCAGCACTTCAGTGTGGTGAGGCTGTGCCTCTCTTCTCCACTATGGAGTCTAATCACATTAAGACGAAGGAGCAGGGGCGATAAAAGCATAAGGACGGCCACAAAAGCAGACTGAATCTGGAGACAAAATCCGCTCAAATAATAATCTGAGCATTAACCTTTCACTAAAGATTTTTTATTGAAAATCAATAATCACTTGAGTTAACCAAGACGTTAATACCGTTTATATCCTCAGACGGTATTGATAATTTAATTAAAAAAGATAACTTTTGACTGCATCGGGATAACTATCACGACGGTGTGCGTATTTTTTTAATGATTTTAACAATAATAATGGAAGAGAAATAAGCAAATTACATATTTTCTATTTTAAGAAAGGTAAAAATGCGATTCAAACTGAAGATACAATTTGTAATTGATGTAATGGCATAACCTTTCACCCCTATGAGTGACTACACTATAGGCAGTAACTACCTATAAGTATCCTTAAGGCAACGGACTACGAGAGTCGAGCTGTGATCTTTCCCAGCTGCGCTAGTCGAACTCTCTGCCTTCGGGCAGAGAGGAACCCGAACGAGGTTATGCGAAGGGCAGAGTTTCGTCCGGGGAGGTAGACAGACCCGATCCTGTTTATGCCGGGTCTACGGGGATTTTTGGGCCGGGCCTACGGGCTCGAGAACCCCACATTAAATTCGGCCTTGTGCCACATGTGACTGCGTGGAGCAGTTGCTAAATAGCGTCGAGCTGGGATCTTTCCCAGCTGTGCTGGTCGAACTCTCTGCCTTCGGGCAGAGAGGAACCCGGACGAGGCTCTGTCGAAGGTAGACGGGGAGGTAGACGGACCGGATCTCGTTTATGCGGGATCTACGGGATTTTTTTTTTTTTTTGCTGAGCCCACATTAAATTCGGCCTTGTGCCACATGTGACTGTGTGGGGCAGTTGCTAAATAGCGTCGAGCTGAGATCTGTTGAGTATACTCAGACTTACGCGAGAACTACCGACCTTCCAATAGCAGCACTCACTACTGGATTGACTTGCGATGACCTTGTGCATAACTGTTACCTTATTTCTTATTGTACTGGTTTTTACAATAAACCTTTACTTATTTTATCCACCGTGTTTGTTAACTATATATTTTTATTAGCACGGAATATAGCCGTATGTTACTGAAAAAAGGTACAGTGAAAAACCAAGCATATAAAAAATGGTTTGCTTTATTTTCTGCGAGAGATTTCTAGTTGAATGAAGCACCGCTGAACATCAGCTGATAATTCAACCGATAAAAAACTCGTTGTTTGAAAATAATCAACATAGCCTACCTATTGAAAATATTCAAATCAAGCATTGAAAAAGTATTTGTACAAGTTTGGTTATAGAAGTCGCTTTTATGTGTGGTTTTTGTGTCCAATTCGCTAGTTAAGCATAAAGAAAATATTTTGTCTCTGAAAAAAAAAAAAATTGTGACAAGTGATGAAAAGTGTCTAACTTACAACAATGTCAAACATAAGAATATCGTGGGGTAAGCTAAATGAACCATTACGAACCGCCAATCTCTATTTAAATAAAGGTTACGCAGGACATATGGCGATACTGGAAAGGTGTTTTCTATTACAATTCTGCGGAAAACCAAACAGTTGTTGTCATTACTGGCGCGGGGAGAGGAATTGACGAGTCGATTTCAAATCAGGGGCTATTCTAATGATCTTGATAAATGCATCAATCTATCTCTTCTGTCCTCATCTCACCAGCTATGCGTTAAACAGCAAGGTAGACTAGGCTAACAGTCAGTCTAGGAGAAGGAAATCTTAATTAAATATCACCGATAAACCAAAGGGAAACTATTCAACAGCCATTCCTAAGTGGCCATGATAATTTACAGATAATAAAGTAAAATGATTTGTGGAGAGACAAGACGGCGTACGTCCTCAAGAGGCATACGTTCTCAAGAGACATAGCATAAAAAATGCTCACATTTGGTAAATGAAGACAGCAGGATAACGCTAGGCGGTCTGCGTGACAGTGCAACGATCCTGATCCTGTAAGAGCCTGACTGAAAAGTTTTATCTGATCCGCTATTCTTGTATACTCCCTCTCTTCTGGGGAGGCTATTAGTTGATGGACTTGAGGCGATCATAATAAAGTTGTCTTCCTCGCTTTCTTTCTTTCTCTCGACTTTCTGATTCCGGTCGTGTGATCGCTAGTTCTTTGGAGTCCGGAGATGAAAGAGACATCAACAAAGGGAATTTGAAAACTTATATATTTTATTAAAGATGTCGACGTATACATTTTTAACTAGTCAGTGGGATCGTTTTATCACCCCTAGTGGGGAGTAAGTTCGCCGAGACACGAAATAACTACGTCTGCTGTGTATGACGAGTAAAAGTTAACTCCTTGGAAATACTTTCTAACTCTAACATTCTGACGTTCGACTCAGCCAATCAAAATCCACATCCCTATTTTGCCTAATATCTGACTTTAACAGCCTATAAGTCCTCAAAAGGCATACCTCCTCAAGAGGCATGGCATAAAAACACACACATCGATTTCTAGGCCGGTTGAATTTAGAATGTTTATTTCCAATATATGCTAACTGTAAACGAATTACTGGCGCAAGATAATCATCTTAATGGCATTTCTATCTTATTTGAGCCGTGATGATTACGTACTGATAGAAGACTGACAGTATGACAAATTGGACCCTTTAGTACTGGTCGGCAACGACTGTAAGAGAAGGACAACTGAATTGAAAACTGGTTTCGCCTGGCAACTCCTTCCCGTAAGAACAAAACGGTGATGCTATAGTGTTAGGTCTACCTCAATTTAAAAATTTAACCAAACTGGTACAAATACTTTTTCAATGCTTGATTTGAATATTTTCAATAGGTAGGCTATGTTGATTATTTTCAAACAACGAGTTTTTTTTTTAATTTCGGGTGTATTTTCAGTTGGTGTTCTTCATAAAGTCTGATCCAAATGCATTGTCATTCCGAGCAGCTACCATTTGCATCACCACGCATGTATCATTATAAGTTATACCAAACTAAAGTAAGTAACTGTGATGACTCGCCATTAGTTTGATATTTCATTATGTTCAGTTGGATTGATGCCCTCATTCCTTTTTCTTATTATCAAGACATTTCTACCGTTGTGACCACGGCCATCTTCAGGAAAAAAAATTAGATGTGATATCCATTTATATAGTCTCTGCCTTTAGAATGAATAAAGATTTTATTCCGTTCCTTTTAGATTAACCGGATCGACTATACTTTTACTATGAAAATATATTGCAGGTACTTTTACTATAAAAATGTTGTACTTTCATAGTGTTTTGATCCCACATTTGGTGTTAACTATTTGCCCATAGTAGGGACCCTAACAGGTGCTACCACCCCCGTTCATTTTTTTTAATACAATCTTCTATCAGTACGTAGTCCTCACGGCTCAAATAAAATAGAAATGTCATTAAGATGATTATCTTGCGCCAGTAATTCGTTTAAAGTTAGCATATATTGGAAATAAGCATTCTAAATTCAACCGGCCTAGAAATCGATGTCGTTACTCACGAAAAATATACCTGCCAACAAGAATCGAAACTATACTCCTTTTTTCTCCATCAAGGAAATAAATCCTTTAACCGAAATATATCCTAGAATATTCCTGTACGGTCGCCAAAGTTAAGCAACATCGAGCCTGGTCACCATCTGTTTGGGTGACCAAGTGCTGTAAGATTAGATGTGCGGGTGCTATGAACGACTTATGGACATATCACGTTGAAACACCGGTTACCGTACGATCGCCGAAGTTAAGCAACATCGAGCTTGGTCATTGCCTAGATGGGTAACCGGTTGGGCATACCAGTTGTTGCAAGCTTCGATGTGCAGGTGGTATAATGAAATATTGGCTTGGAATTGTTAATCGGAGAACCCGAAGAGAATTTGGCTGTTCACGTTGAGTTCGTTATATTCATTTACGCAAAAATACCTTTGAGAAAGGTATGGATCCACCTCTTCTCCACCAGCTATGGGCTAATTAATAAGACTTGTATCACTAAATCCTTATTATCTAAAACAAAAAAAATAATTACAATCTAAAAAATATTTTCTGGCTTTTATAACCATTTCTGGTTATAAAAAATTATTACAATCTAAAAAAATTTTTACAATCTAAAAATTATTACAATCTAAAAAAACATTTCTGGCTATTTATAACCTGCACAGGGTTGATAAGCCGTTAAAAACGAATCAATCACTCAATCAAAATCCAATTACCTGCTTAAGGAATGATCCTATTTCGTTGGGGTATTTCGATGTCTATATCTGCTAGCTTTATTTTCGGACCCGATACGTAAAGTAGAGACGCTTTGAATGGATTTTTTTAATCCGACATGATTTCTTATTTCTAGGAATAAGAAACGTCATCATAAGAAATGAAACCAGTTCCGTTAAATGATTGAATTCCCTTGTAGAAAAAAAAAACATTAAAATTGCTGAGTTCCTTTGATTCAAAGACATTTTATTGGAAGGTTAACTGCTGATGGTGGTTTGTGTGTTACAATATTTGTGATAAAGCCGTTTTTTTTTTTAATCAAAGACATTATCTGAAATAACTTTGGAGTTCAGCTTTCGTACCAACAGTCTTAACGAAGTGCCTGTGAGAGACACTTATTGAATTTATCTCAAGTCATAACTGTAGATAAATGATGCTGAGAATCATAAAGGGGTCAATTACAGTGGAGAGGTTAAAAATGATAAAACTGTATTGTCTATAACTTAGAGAAGTGTCATTAACATTCTAAACTTTGTTTGGTAATTGGATCAGATCGATCTAATGATACTCAACGTTCTTGGCTCATACACTTTATATCTAGCTTCTATAACTCTGAGAAAATTCATTAGAATTACAACATTTGTTCATATAAAAGAATCCTTTGTGTTATTGGTGCTGTTACAAGTTTTCAATCCATTCAGTCTACACCTACCTTTTATAATTTAAAAAAAAAACAACAAAAAAACATTCATATTCCAAGATTTTTTCAGACGGTTCAACCCTTTCGTTGTGCTGTTAATGTCGTTATCCCGAAGATTTTCACCCACCCATTCTACCTTCTCTAATTTTAGGAAGAGATCTTAATATTCCAAGATATTTTTCAGACAATTCTGAATCTTTTGTCTTATTGGTGCTGTTATGACAAGTTTTCAGTCCATCCATTCTAACATTTCAATATTTGTTCAGAATACTGAACATTTTTGTTTTGCTGATCGTACGGGAACAAATGTTTCAATATGATACGGCCATAACGTTTCGGTCGATCCATTCTACATCTACATTCTTTAAATTTTAAGATTTATCAGTATTTGTTCATGACACCTGAACTCTTTCTTCGTTTTGTTGATCTTGATAACGCAACTTTTAAGTCCATCCATTGTACATTATCCTTTTATAACTCTGACTAGAGTCGTTCAAATTGCATGCTTCGTTCGGAAAAAATGAATTTTTTCGTTGTATATTTTATATTTTCGGCCGACCCATATTTCATAATTTGTTAGGCCGGTAACCTATAAGAAAATAGCGACAGAAAAACTAATGGCCGTTAATATAGCAACCGAATCAGAAATTAAGTTCGCTTCAAGAAAGAATCCTGTGCCTCTGATCAGGTAGCATATTCCTTATTTTTTCGTGTGTGTTTAGAGCCATTCTATCATATTTCATTTTGAAATTCAATGAAAACAACCCGAAATGCTTCGATAGTTCACCTACTCTCATTTATCTCTGAATTGAATCTGGTGTAGACAAATGTTCAGCACTTCAGTGAAGCCATCAATAATCAGTCTGGTGAATCGAAGTCTTCGTGAAAGACATAAAATGGCGACTGGGCTTATGGTTCAAGTAATCAGAAACTTATTGTTCCACTATCATTCAGATGCAAAACAAGTGGTATCCAGTATTTGCTGACAATATTTCTTTACAAATTTTCACCACATATAAACAACTGGTAACAAATAGAACGAAAGTATGCATATATGACAATATGTATATTTCGGCAGCAGATCTTCATTTAGACATGTTTCATTGAATAATATAGGCATATTGTGTCTACCTATTTTTATACTGTTCCTTTCCAGTTGTCTAATCAGTTACTTGATATTAAGACGAAATTCACCAAGGAAGGCGCTGTAGTATTTTTTTAACCCAGGTACTTTCGACCTTTTCTAAGATCATCTTCAGGGGTAAATTACAAAGACAAACTTATTGTAACTGCGATAAAATCTGCAATCCGTTGTGATTTGGATTCTTTAAGCACACGCTTTGTTATAGCTAATTTAAATATTAATATTAAATTTATCCTTTGTAGTTATGGAATTTTTTTTAAACAAGCGTTTCAATATAAGGGAATCGACTGGAAATTGGTAGAAATGTAAAATGGCATTAAATGTTATATACATTTAATACCTTGTTGTTATATTCGTAATAAATTTTGTTGAGTGTTAGTCTGTTGTTTTTTATATAGAGGGCCACGATGTGGTGTAGTATATTGGTATTATTAACGAGTATTTTCCTGTATTGTGAAGGTGGACAGGAATGTGTTTTTAGATGCTGTGCAATAGAACTTGTATACGACAATTGAAGTGTAAGACGTCTTGTTAACGTAATAGTCGTCCCACCAAGATATATATGATGATAAAGACAAAGTGGCAAAGCTTGTTCAGACAACGCATTTCGCCTCTTTATGACAGGCGTTTTCAGGTCAGAATGAGAAAACAAACACTTGTGTAAGGGGTAATAAATAATCTTGAGGAAGGGTAATAAATAATCTTACCAGATGCTAAGGGCGGAAAGTTAACGTCTGCTGGATCAGAAAATAGTTCACTTTGAGTAGATATCTGTTTTATTTTGTTTTTCCAGTTAGTTTATATAGCGAAGTATGAGGTTGACCATAGGGAATTTTGAAAGAATTTCTTTTGTAAAAGAACTGACAATGCATCGACACATTGCATATAAAATCCATATTTTGCTAATAATCACGGTCTCGATTCCTGGCCACTGATAATATCCATCTTTATGATTTTCAATACGTTTCTGTTGTGAAAGAATTACCAGTGGTCAAGAACTGAATTATTATTAGCAAGAGAATATGGATTTTATATGTACTGTCTTTGTATTATTAATGTTTAACATAATATCTTCTTGTAAAAGACTTAGTAATGCATGACACATTACATACGAAATCCAAATTTTGCGAGTAATAACTGTATCGATTCCTGACCACTGATAATCTCCATCTATATAATTTTCAATACGTTTCCCTTGTGAGAAAAATATCATTGGTCAGGAATCGTGACAGTTATTATTATCAGAATAATATGGATTTTATATGTATTATGTCTTTGCATTATTAATTCTTTTACAAAAGAAATTCGTTGAAAATCAAATAGATTATCAACTGTCAACAGTTGAGGTAATTATTACTGGCAAAAATATGGATTTGATATAGCAACACACTGCGCCTTCTTGGATTCAGTTTTTCAACTGACTTGAAGTCGAGCGAATATATCGAATCAATAATCTACTGAAAAGAAAGTTGGGTTACTGTTACGTGCTACAAAATTTCTCTCGTCAGGGTCCATCTTGCATATTTAAAAATCTATCATTCGCCCGTGCACTGAATACTGTTGCCATATCTGTTTTAGTTCTCCTGATATTCATCTCGAGATTCTTGACAAAATCCAAAGAAGGATCTGTAATGTAATCGATCCTGGTTAGGCATCTCAACTTCAGTCACTTTTTCAGCGACGTGACATGATTTCCATGTTTTTTCTACAAATATTTTCATGGCAACTGCTCTGACAAGTTTTTTTTCCTTCGTGCCCCGACTGGCATCTAGGTCCCACCAGTCTAAACAGTTTCTTTTCTCGCACCTCCCGCCTGTGGAACTCCGTTCCGTTTACTTGCTTTCTGGATAAATACAACCTTCAAAAATTTAAATGCATCGTCAATCGCCATCTTCTGTCTTCTTGAGTCTCGTTCATCTTATCCTTTCCTAACTCCTCTCTATACTCTGTTCTCTCACTTCCACTCTCTGTACCCACCCCCTACGTACTATTGGTATTTTCGCCTTCCTTTGAGGGGGGAATGCTTTTTTAAAACATATTATACAAATGGATCATTTTTTAAAATCATTTCACCCTATGGAAGGCAATAATGCCACTAGGAGAAATTACGGGGAGTAAATGAAATAACTAGATATTAGCGACCCTATACGCCTGTGCTGGTGTGCATACGCTGGTAAGCAAATAAATAATTACCAAATTTAGCCAAGAGATGGCGACATAATAGTGCTCAATGTGGTCAAACAGAGCTAAGAAATATATATTAATAAATCCACTTATAACTACGTTTGATGTGCGACTAGAGTTTCGTTGGTTACCCAATTTATCGGGCACGAGATATCGCTTATTGTTTATTATATTATATAATAGGTTTATTAAAAAGAAAGAGCAGATTTCGAAAATTTGATAAAAACAAATGCTAAGAGACAAAAACAGATTTACCAGATTATTAGATAGGAAAAGGTTCAAACTTTATTATTTTACGATTTTTCAACTTGTATGCATTTAACATGAGTACCACCGAAAATGGTTTTCGACTTCTTGCCACACTAAAATAACTTCATCTGTGAATATTGACTTGACTCCTTCAACAATTCGATGTCTCAAAATAAGCATTTAAACAAGATTTGAAAAAAAAAAATTAAATTTATTTTAATAACTTTCGACCTTTTCCTATCCAGTAATGTGCTGAATGCTTTTCTTTCTCTTAGCTTTTACTTTTATTAAATTTTTGAAAACCTGTTATTATACCAATATATCA